ACACCAAAAACGAAAGACACCTGAGCTTATATACTGCCACCTAAGTCAACCGAGGCGAGATGTAAGAACATCACGTGATTGACGCAATGCATTTTACATAACATTATAGCAAATCAAATTACAAACATCGTTTGTAAATCTGAGATGCTTTTGATTAGAAACTGTCAAACTGTTTAGTAAAATTACAATGCGTGTAAGATTTATACATGTAGATTGAAAAATTACAACTTATCTTAGTAGATTTCCCAACATGTCTTGGAAGATTACTCAAATTGTATTATAATTTCGTATTGGTATACACTGATTTGTAATTTTACTCATCCTTTGTTTTGCAAAACAATTGTAATTTTACAAAAAAATTTAACTCTACATTAAATGTACAAATTTTGTTGTAAAATTAATTAATTAGAAAAATTAAGTTTTGGAAAAAAATTACAAAAATACCATTGGTTTCATTTTAACATGAAGTTTTCAATTTTTTAACATTATAAATTACAGAAAAAGTGACTGGGAAAAAGATTTTAAGAAATAAAATGCAGAGGAAAAGCCATTTTTTGTTTGCCACATGTGGTGTGGTAAAACCGTCTCCCTAAACGACGATGTTCGAAACGACCAGACATACAGTAAAGTCGTTTGTGCAGAGGGTTTATAAAAAAGCCATTTCCACAAATTGTAGTCAGCAAAATTGAAAAATACGGAACTAGGCCGTGATGCAAAATTGAAAATCGAATTTAGAAGGACGCACAGCTGCGAATATATAAAAACAAGTTGTCTGTCTAAATATCGTTTTTGTTTTTTAAATTACATAATAAAAGATATCAATATTCTTTTAACCCATGACCCATGGGTGAATCTCACGAAATTTCCCCGATGGTGTTACCCCGTGATATTTATTAAAACTAAAGAGTTTGACCTATATATAGGTCAAACTCATTTAGTTTTAATAAATATCACGGGTAGTATACTTTTATTGTGTTTTGATCTCTCATAATTAAGTACATATTACAGCTAAGGTTCCAGATTTTTAACCGCAATTAATTATTTTTTACAATGTATTAAAAATCTAAAACCTATCCTCCGTGACTGTTACTCTTTCTAGGTTAACCTATATGTTTTCAAATATCTGAGGTAGTAAAAGCATACTAAAAATATCAGTTCACTAAGTAAATTAAACACATCCAAAGCAATCGAATCAAATATAAAATATTATTCAAAATTAAAAGAAATAATTTTTATAACCATTTATGTAGGTGTTACAAAATTGATTCTATCCTCCGTGAATCTGTTTGTGCTTTAAATTTTATGCAACGGATGGCGCTTTAATCATTTTAAATAAGCAAAAACCTCTGTATACGACATTGTAGATTCATGTGATTCCTGAAGGTCAGTTAGAATTTATATGCAGATGAGAGTGTTGCTGTTTTATAATTCAAAAGTTTAAGTTCATTAACTTGCTGTTTAAAAACCTATCCACCGTGAAGTGTAATATCTCAGTAAGTAGATTTTTTTTATAAATATTTTATGTACAATTAAAAATATTAAGGTGACAAAAGATACAATAACTTATTTCAAATATACAAACAGAACAAAAGTGCCTTTTAGTATTTAAACTTAAATTTAGCTTACTGTGCATCCTTGACACTCCAGGGATTCTGTCCGCCACAGATTGACATGAATTTTAAAACAATCGATAAATTTTCCTGCATACTTCGTGTCATCCAACTAGATTACTCCCAAATTGGCCTTTATCGATTCCTTGCGCTGGAAGAAAAAAATTAAAAATTCCCATCAAATTAAACGAACGTTTTAAATTGCAAAAATCCGGTGCGAAATTAAAAGTGCTCGAGATGAATAAAAAAGCAGCCCGAATTTAATTAAGTCGATGAGATAACGCTTTTCATAGAAACGCTTTTGAATCGAGACAAAATTACTAAAGAAAATTAACACTTAATGAAAGAGAAAAATGGTTAAATTAAGCAATAAATGGTAAATAGTTTAGTTTATTAATGTTTACTTGGAGTTAAAATAACCATTCATAAATGTTTAAATATAAATGTTGTTTTAACAAATTAATAGTATATTATGTATCAAGTTTGATAAACGCCATTTTATACACGAATTAAATAAATTAATGAGTGTATAGAAAAGTTTATAAACGAGGTGCATACTATACTTTTTCTACGACAAATACTTATTATTATCTTAAAATGATTTAAATCAAAAATTTGTATAGACCGCCATCTATGAAACAACAGGGAAAACTGTCAAATGTCACATTTTTACATTTTATAAACACAATTATAAAGGTTATAAATCGAAATGTATCTTGAAAATTTACAGTTTTTCACAGGCAAAGTAAAGGAAATGTTTTATGAGGACTTTACAGTAGAGTCCGTGCCCGAATTTAAGTTATAGTTTACTGCCGGCGAAATTAAAAGGTCCAGTCAATGTTCATATAAACTTTTCAAATATTGGCGTTGAGAAACTATTTAATATTTTTGTATTTTTTTGTGTTTTAGACTTTTAAAACATTGTCAAAAATAATTAATTGCGGTTAAAAATCTGGAACCTGAGCTGTAATATCTACTTGGAATAAAAGAGGAAATTTAAAAAATATTTGCAAATTTTTACACTATTTAAACCAAAAATTTTAATAATTAACCATAATAAAAACGTGTTAAAGAGCACAAGCTTGCTATGGTTAAGTATATAATTAAAAATGATTTATTAAGCTTAGATAACGTTTGCGAAAAAATAAAAGTAAAATTTTACTATCGCATTGTTTAAATATAATGGATGCCAAAAATTGTTTGTTAAAAATTACAATAAAATGTTTAAATAATGTTTCCATGTTTTGTTAACATTGGTAACACTGTTTTTTTTTAAACCTATACGTTATCCAACCCCAGATTCATATCATGCTTATTTGTTATAATAGTGGTAACATTGTAACAGTTTTATTTATTGTTTATGGTAACCAGTGCGTATACTGGCTGCTATAGTAAAATTTATCACTTTCCAAATAACTTTTTTGTACGAGTTGACAGGAAAACTAATTTGCGAGATGGAAATGTTTTTTTTTCTTATCGGAATTCCGTTATCTTATGTTTTCTGAAAGCTCTTAAACGAAATTTTGAAGCATGAATAATGGTTATATTTTGGTTGCATTCAAATTTAAATTGAATTCCCGTTTGTAGATGTAATCTATCATTGAACGATTTTAAAAAGATGTAGAGAAAAATACAAGTAAATGTCTCACTTGGTGGGGCTATATTTTTGTTTAAAAGTCACACAAATTATAATACCACGTGTCTGTTAATTAAAGAAACCTAATTTAAATTATATTTAATTTCTTTTTTTTACCAGTTAAAAAATATGTGAAAAACCAAACGTGCCTAATAACGTCTGTCCTAATTTGTCAATTTTTTTTTAATTACCCATTACTAGAAAAACAAAACAATTGCCATTAATTAATGCTACATGTCTTTATTGGTAGTTAGCGTAATGAGTCAGGTAAAATTATGTTTTACTAGTGGTACCTTGGACTTGTAATTAACGGTTGAAAATGTTGCTTCCTGTCCATTTAATAAACAAACTTATGTTGCTAGCGAATTTCTGATTAGTGTTTGATGCGTTTGATGTATAGAAATCTGTGTTTATAAATTTATTGAACGAGTTATCGAAGGAATTTGCATTTTTTTGATTTAAGTAAAACACTGCCATCCGTTGCATAAAATTTAAAGCAAAAACAGATTCACGGAGGATAGAATCAATTTTTGTAACACCTACATAAATGGTTATAAAAATTATTTCTTTTAATTTTTAATAATATTTTATATTTGATTCGATTGCTTTGGATGTGTTTAATTTACTTAGTGAACTGATATTTTTAGTATGCTTTTACTACCTCAGATATTTGAAAACATATAGGTTAACCTAGAAAAAGTAACAGTCACGGAGGATAGGTTTTAGACTTTTAAAACATTGTAAAAAATAATTAATTGCGATTAAAAATCTGGAACCTGAGCTGTAATATCTACTTAATTATGAAAGATGAAAACACAATAAAAGTGTAGGTGAAACTCATTTAGTTTTATTAAATATCACGGGGTAACACCATCGGGGGACGTTTCGTGAGATTCACCCATATATGTCGATCTTTGTTTTAAACGCTTCATCCACCCTAAAGGCTTAAACTATGCTCCCTTTCTGAGCTTGGAATAGAAAATCAAATTATAGGATTCGCGTGGTAAATCGAAATCAGCAGAATGCGAGAGCAAATCCTGCTTATTATCCTGGCAGTGATAGCTTAACAAACAAAAATCGATACGTGTGGTATTATGTTGAAAAATTAAACGGGCTGCTGCTGTAACAATAAAACAATTATACAGGGTGGAATATTGAGTGTAACTTTTGAAATATCGAAAATATTAAAAAATGATTTTATTAAAAGTTGTTTGGTAGCCGAGGCAAATAACCACGTGAGTGATAAAAAATGACTTTAATGCGGAGGTACATATTAAATTTGATCCGAAATCACATTTAATAACACTAATAACTAATATTGATGATCAAATCAAATGTCATTCGAATGTAGGAAGTGTCTACGTATAATGTTTGTTGCGACTGTTATTATATATTTTTAATCTAATTAATAAAATTAACTTATTATTTTTATTAAACAACATTTTATAAAAGGGTTGACGGTGCTTTTTTAAGTATTATTTAGTTGCTGCTGAGGAGCAGTAGACACATCTTAAAATGTATAATGGGTTGCATACAATACTCGTATTATTATTATTATTATTATTATTACCGATTTCGGATAAAAGTTTTTTGTTATAGTTTTTTTAAGGCTTCAAATCGTTTACCTGTAATTCATTTTTAATTCGACATTCACTGCAATTTTCACATGTAATAGTGTGCTAATAGTAAAATAAATAGCTAGGAATTAATTTACCAAGAACAAATAACTAACCTGTACTTTTCTCCTGTTTCAGCTAAAAAACAAAATGGCTCAGCGTTTAGAACAAATAGCTTGGGAAGCGGCGGCACCCGAACTCCACCTCTAGAAAGGAAAAGCCGGTTCTCGTTAGGAAAATTACTGAAACCGTGGAAATGGAAACGGAAAAAGAAGTCGGATAAACTGGAAGCCGTCTCTAGAAGTAAGTAAATAATGATAGCGATGAAATTTATACGAAAACTATGGTTAAACTAGGGTTAAAGTTTTAAAGCAAATCTTAACTTTTCTGTAGAACTAACTGGCTTATGTAAAAGTCAAATGGCAAACTTAAAGTTCATAAGATCCTAAGTTTTTAAGGCCATTTATTCAATTTTTAGCAAGAACAATTACAAATTAGTTAGGGTAAACCACATAGTTATTGGACACTTAAGGAATATTATTTATTTAAAATTTATATATGCCGTTGTTTTAAAGATTTTAGTTTTTTTCTTATAAATATATAAAAAGCGTAGTTTGTTTGTTTAAACTTTATTTACGTTTACTTAAAAATAAGAAAATTTGAATTTTTAATAATAGTTTTATAAAAAATGCAAAAAGGTATAGTAATTGGACATTTTATATAGTAATTGCTCTTTTAGGTAATTTTTTTTATTTCGTTTTTGTAAATATCATATAATCCAGATATTTCTTTCTCGGATTCCTCATCCCTTTTCTGAATTCTGGAGGTAACTACTAATTCCTTGGTCTGACTTCTGAAATAGTTTGTTGCAAATATCATTAAGTGTGGTATCTCTAGTTTGTGAAGCATTTATAATGTTTGTGCCGGAACAGGATGATTTATATATATCTAATATTTTTTCGGATGGTATGTTAAAAGTATTTTCCGAATTTATTAATTTTGTTGCCATTACTTTTTTATGTTCTCTATCATGCACTGTATTTAAATCACTGTTATTCTGCAAGATGTCCTGTGACGCAGAAATCATTGTATTACTTACTCTCTAAAAATGAATTAGTCAAAAATGTCATAGCGAAAAAGCAATCCAGGACATTTAGCAGTCAATTCCTATGAAATATTATTCGCTGAATCCGAAAATGTCGTCAAAAGTTATAAAAGTAGAACATTTTTTGCAACATAATCAATTTTACATATAATATGAAATTGACTATATCTCAAAAACTGCTTAACTTTTATCATTTTTGACGATCTTTTCGGATTAAGGGGACAATTTTTTATAAGAATTGGCTGGTAAATGTTCAGGATACAAATACAGTATAATATTGGACATATGTCCAATAATGGAAACTTATAAGTTATATGTATACATTTTTTACCAAAAAGTAATTGGACACTCGCCATTTTACTGTTTGTTTTCAGAATTAAAATTAAAACTCATTAAAGTGACAATGTTTAAACCATGAGGAACACATTTATACCACACACTGATCTGTACACTTTTTAGAAATATTTTTTATTGTAATTTAAGCACAGCCCTGCTCTTAACAAAAAAACAAAAACCAACAAAGTAACGTGCGAACTTTTTTGTCCTATATTGGACCCAAAATAAAGTATTTCTATAATATTAATAATATTATTATAACCGACTGAGATAGTTATAATTTTATACAGCGTCATCTAATGATTTGACTTTAAGGTAACTCTTGTTTTTACAGTATTAATGTTAATTGTCCAATAACTAAAAAGTGTCCGATAACTGTCTACTTTATAATATTCTATACTAAAATTCTTGTTGATCAGTGTTATTAAAGTAAATTTGCCCACTCAAAAGCACAAGTGGGTTGAAATATCCCTTGTCTAATTAACCACTGGAAACTTTCCCCTTCTCATGTTTCATTGAACTTTTCAAATATTAGTATTATCGCTAAAAATGACTTTTGACTCATCGTTTAGTTATTACACTCGCCACGCTTGCCCTCGTCGTAACCAATTACCTCTCAATTAATTAAGTTTACCGTAAATTGCGAAACAAATTTTAAATTGGAGTTGATTGATAATTGCCTGCCCCAGATAAACTGCCGATTTCGTCACGTCCTCTTTAAAATACCTACCTTTTATCGTTTTTAGTGCTAAATAGCATATTTTTAAACGGAACACTCTGTATATTTTTACATATTTTGAAAGGAAATTAAATTTCGAACAAAAATTTATTATTGCATAACTACCCTAAACCTAAAAATAAACAATTAATAAGCACTTAAACTTTCTGTTTGTTGTAAAAATAAAGTAAAAATTTGGTTATTTTAGTTATCATCAAAAAGTTCAAGTGCTTATTAATTGTTTATTTTTAAGTTTAGGCAATTATAATTTTTTGTTCCAAATTAAATTATCTTTTAAAATATGTAATAATATACAGGGTGTTTTATTTAAAAACATGTTATTTTTGTGAATATTTAAAAGAATCATTTATAGTAAACTCTTTTTTGAAAATAATTGGGTTAAAATTTTTATAAAATACTAAAAATATATATTTGAATAACATAATATAAATAATAATTTAAAATTGAAATATCATTGTTTTTATTTGTTTAGTGTTAATATTTTTTCATATGTACGAGGTGTGTTCAGAAAATAACTGGAATTGTTAAATTTCGCGGGTTCAGAGGGTCCGGTTGTCATAAAATTTTCTTTATTATGTTGGTATACATGCCCCCGAAGTATGATAAAAACTTTAGCTGTTTTCATCGTTTACTTTGTCTGTGGCAGCCGCTAAGGTTAGACGTGTTTTATGAGCTCGGCGATTTTTCGTTCGTTAAAAGAAATGGATCAGAGAATTTGTATCCAATTTTGCTTAAAAAATGAAATAAATTCTGTGAAATGTTAACAAAGGCCTGCTATAATTAAAACAAGAGTTTACAAGTGGTATAAGAGTTTCCAAGATGGCCGTGAAGACGTTGAAGATGACGAACGCCCCGAACGCACAAGAACATTAACAACCCATAAAAACATGGAAAAAGTGGAAGAAATAGTTATAAATAGTTGCTGATGATGTTGGTATATCGATTGGCTCATCCCATGAAATTTTTTGAATGTTTTGGGTATGAAACGCGTGGCAGAAAAATTTGTTCTAAAATTGTTAAATTTTGAACACAATTTTTGGCCAAAAACAATACTGTAATGATGCCCCAGTCTTCATATTCGCCAGACATGCCTCTGTCTGACTTTTTCCTATTCCCAAAAATAAAGAGAACCTTAAAGGGCCGTCGTTTTGCAAGCATAGATGACATTAAAAGCGCATCGCTGAAAGAACTTTTGGCCAAAAACAATACTGTAATGATGCCCCAGTCTTCATATTCGCCAGACATGCCTCTGTCTGACTTTTTCCTATTCCCAAAAATAAAGAGAACCTTAAAGGGCCGTCGTTTTGCAAGCATAGATGACATTAAAAGCGCATCGCTGAAAGAACTAAAGGCTATCCCAAAGATCGAGTTTTAGAAGTGTTTCGAGTATTGGAAGAAGAGCTGGCACATGTGCATAATATCCAATGGGGACTATTTTGAAGGCGACAACATTAATGTAGACGAATAAATAAATATTTGTTTCAAAAAAAAAAACACCTCATATATGAGAAATTACGATTTGTAAAAAATTTTAAAGTTTGAATTTTTAATAATTTTTTGTTATTTTAAATTGTAAAACTCTCAGTTAATAGTATATTATGTATCAAGTTTAATAAACGCCATTTTAGTCACAAATTTAATTTAGGCACGAGCGAACTTGCGAGAGAGTGCTTAATTAAATGAGTGCCTAGAAAAATTTATAAACGAGTTGCATACTACTTTTTCTACGAAAAATACTTAATATTATCTAAAAAATGATTTAAATTTAATATTATATTTGTATAAAGCGACAGTTTTTCACTGTAAAACCTCAGCCCGTGACTAAAAACCTGTTGCTAACTTCAACCTGTGACTAAAGCGCTATAAAGCCACAACTGTGTAAACATGTACGTTTTAAAGGTGGTAGTAGAAAAAAAATTGTGTAATAAAAGAATATTTTTTATATATTTATAAAACCTATTATTTTTTGTTGTTGCAGCGTTAGAAAGAAAAATATCAGTCCGAGCCAATAGAGATGAACTTGTCCTTAAAGGTATACTGTTACCGGAGAGTCCTTTGTCACCAATAAAATCCGAGCCCGGTAAGTAAATTCAACAATTGGTATCACTAAACCATCTTACGAAAATCACGTAAAACACTTTTTATCCGAGGTATGCAAAATTACAGTTTTCTTTAGTAAAAAGCGAAAATGCTGCCGCAGAATCCTGCTTGAAGGGGAATGTGGTGCCTCCTAGCGAGATTTCCTCGAACCTTAGCATATAGATTTTTCAATTATTAATAAGGTAGTAGTGCTGTGGGACATGCCGCGTGAATAATTCAAAGTCCCTTTCGATTATTGCTACGGTGTTGTTCATTGTTCATAAAACTCGAGTAATTGCAGCTAGCTGCATGCAGCTACGATAGTTTGAAGCGAAATTTTCCGTTTCCCCATATCGATTTTCTTTGTCTTCACTATGTTCTCCATGTATGCCTAGCTGGGTGTATTTTCTATCGCCCATTCCGGATTTTATGTTTTATTATATTTCTTGTTCAGATGCAGCTGTTTGGAGGAAATTAAACGGCTACTAGTTATTGTGTTATTTTGGATTGGTCTTTTGCACATTAAGTTTTATTTAGCTAAATATGTTTTGATTGCATTATTTTTACGATGATATAATACACTCACAGGCAAAATAATCGATCCACACAAATTTTCGATGAATTTCAATCGCAAATGTTTTGTTTATTTGATTTCGGATTTAAACAAATATTAAAGAATATTGTAGATACATTAATGGAGAATCGCTCACATTTTAAAAATTACTAAAAAATACACGTACGTTTATAATATACAGGTTTAAACAAAAAGATGTTTTTTACCATAAGTTTAAGACACTCTGTAGAGTGGCAAAACCGTATATTGTTCTAAATTAAGTTTTAATTATCAAGTCACATCTATTTTTAACAGTTTTGTTTTTGGTTGATATATGTATTTTTGTGGAAAATATAGATTTTTTTTAAAAAACATTGCAATTTCCAATATTTTTCCTGTATGAAGAACTAAGGTTGCTATGGTCCATCCAAAGCCTATGGAGGATGACAGTGACAGTTTTGTTGAATCATCCCATACTTGGACATGTCATATACAGCTTTCAAAAGGTATCAAATTGTTTTTTGTACATTAATGTGTTAATTTTGAGGTGTCTTCTTACTTTTAAAAATGTCTCCGACTGATGTTGCCCTTTGTACTTTATTTCTTGTGACGTTTAAAACACTTGCCACGTAATACTGTGACCGTCCATCCTGGATTAAATTAATGGCTCTGGCAGCATCAGTCGGAGACATATCCATTTTATAAAATAAGAAGACACCTCAAAATTTAAACATTAATTTGCAAAAAACAATTTGATAGCTTTTGAAAGCCGTGTATGACATGTCCAGGGATGATTCAACAAAACTGTCACGGTCATTCTCCATAGCCTATGGATGGACCATAGCAACCTTAGTTCTTCATACAGAAAAATATTGGAAATTGCAATGTTTTTTTTTAAAATCCATATTTTCCACAAAAATAAATATATCGAGGTGAACCGAAAACAAAACTGTTAAAAATAGATGTGACTTTATAAATAAATATTTTAGAACAATATACGGTTTTGCCACTCTACAGAGTGTCTTAAACTTATGGTAAAAAAACATATTTTTGTTTAAACCTGTATATTATAAACGTACGTGTATTTTTTAGTAATTTTTAAAATGTGTGCGATTCTCCATTACTGTATCTACAATATCTTTAGTATTCGTTTAAATCCGACATTAAATAAAAAAGTTATTTGCGATTGAAATTCATCGAAAATTTGTGTGGATCGAATATTTTGCCTGTGAGTGTATTTAATATTAAAAAAATCATTCTGCAATAAAAACTTTCATCTCAACTACCATTTTGTTAAACCCAACAAAATTTTTGTATTTTACAAAATTTATTATTATTTAAGTTAAACTTAACAATCAAAAACTTTTTTAAATGACATAATTTCCACATTATAACCATTAAAAGTATTCACAAAAATAGCTACCCCATTGTTCCTAATCTAAGAGCGAATGCCTCCTTACTTGAGGTCTTTTGCTGATCGATATTCCATCAGCCTTTGCGTGACGTTATTTTGAAGAAACACAATCTTGGGGCAGGTTAAGAAATATTAGGCTTTCATTTATTCAGTGCAAGATTACTAGTTATCGTACACACTGCTACTACCCGCCTATCATTCTCATTTATATTCGAGGCGAAGCGATATGAGTTCGTTAACTCAATAACAAAAAAATAAAATGAATATAGGGTGAGATGGTTCAAAAGTGCGCACTATGAAATATTCAAATTGAGAAACATTTCCGATATTATCATACATAATACAAAATAAACTCTATTAAACATTTTTCGCGCCTCACATTTTATATTTGGGACTGCATGTGAAGATAAAAAATTTCGTATACAATTTTCTTATCTATGAATGTCTGAAATACTTGAAATAATTTGTATTAAAAAAACTGTTTGTATTCCCGGCGCATTCGCCATTTTTGCAACTACTGTAAAATATAAGCCTACAAACTTAATTTTTTAACATAGTTATTGGACACTTATTATTTATTTAAAATTTATATATGAGGTTGTTTTAAAGATTTTAGTTTTTTTCTTATAAATATATAAAACGGATAGTTTGATTACGTTTACTTAAAAATTAGAATATTTAAATATTTAATAATAGTTTTATAATTGGACATTTTATATAGTAATTGAACACATGGACCATAGTTATTGGACATACAATTTTTATATAAACATAACAACTTTACATCAAATAACATAACATAACATAAATTGTTAAATATTTTTTATTTCGTTTTTGTAGTGTGGTATCTCTAGTGTGTGAAGCATTTATTTTTATGTTCTCTATCATGCACTGTATTTAAATCACTGTTATTCTGCAAGATGTCCTGTGACGAAGAAATCACCATATTACTTACTTTCAAAAAATGAATTAGTTAAAAATCTCATAGCGAAAAATCCGGCACTAATAATTCTCGTCAACAGCAATTTGTATCCAGGACATTTAGCAGTCAATTCCTATGAAATATTATTTTCTGAATCCGAAAATGTCGTCAAAAGTTATAAAAGTAGGACAGTTTTTGATATATAATCAATTTTACATATAATATGGAATTGAATATATCTCAAAAACTGCTTAACTTTTATAGTTTTTGACGGTCTTTTCGGTTCAGGGGACAATTTTACATAAGAATTGGCTGGTAAATGTCCGGGATATAAATAGAGTATGATATTGGACATATGTCCAATAATGGAAATTTAAATTTTTTACCAACCAGGCCATTTAACTGTTTGTTTTTAGAATTACACTTTTTAGAAATATTTTTTGTTGTAATTTAAACACACTTTTTTGTCTTATATTGGACCCAAAATAAAGTAGTTCTATATTATTACCGACTGAGATAGTTAAAATTCTATACAGCGTCATCTAATGATTTGACTTTAAGGTAACTATTTATAGAACTCTTGTTTTTACAGTATTGGCAGAAATTAATTAGGAATCTAGAATGTTTTGATGTGATATAAAAACAAATATGGTTTATTTTAACAACGATTCTTCCAATCGCTTTATTAAAGTTCTCTCAAAGGTATTGATTTTCTTTCAAGTACTTTGTGTTCTATGTAAACTTTGCTAGCTTTTATGACCATATACGTTCAATGTATACATCGTTTAGATAAAAGCTTTTCTAAATAAGGTTTAGATTAGTGTCGGAGTGGTGCAAAAGTCATGCTTAACGAAGAACAAAAAATTGGGATTAAATTTTTTTACATGTTGTTCTAAACATATGTAAATTCTAGTACCCAATTTGGCGGGCCAACTTGTTAGCTTAAGCTATGTGTGTGTGTGTAAATATGGTTAGTAAATTATAATAGGCAAATGCAACATACATTACTAATCTGCTTGAGCGTTGCCACTTACTCACCGACAACTGGCAAATTTAATTTTAGTTGGATTATATGGCAAACTTGGCGAATACCTCTTTAGGACAGATATTTCAACAGGTATATCTAAATTAAATTAAAATTGTTTTAACAATACAAAAAAATAAACACTTACATTAATTCAGTTAAAGTTTGTCTTTCTGTAAATTAAAGTTAATGATTTCCTAACTCTGCAAAAACAAACTTTTTAAATTAAATAACTAAACGACAGGAATTTTTTTTCAAGTTATAATTAAACACTTCTTTGTAACACTTTGTAACATGATTGTTAAGTATTTTGCCAAAGAAGTTTACTTCTACTTTTAAATATATAAAAATGTGAAAATTATTTTAATATCTCAATACAAAAATACAAAATTTTTAAATAGCCAATCTTTAAAAAGTTGCCGATAAAGCACTAATAATTTCCGGTGGAGTACCCAAAAAACATTCTCTTCACTTCCACTGAAAAACTGCTTTTATATCGATTTTTTCTATTTAATTAGGTGATTGCAGAAAGGGTACAAGTTATTTTTTTTATCGATTTTAGGATAAATTATAAAATTATAAATTATATACACAGTAAATAAATATAAATATCCAGGTTTACTTAACTTTTTTTCAAAAAGGACCCTATTTTTACAAACTTTTTTGTAGACCCAGTAACAAAAGTATTTGTTGGAAATTGGAAACTGGAAATTGGAATTTTTGTTGCTTTTCCTAAACAAAAAAATTAACACATACCTACATAATGAACATAAAAATAACATACACACAATTAAATAACACACCAATCTGAAATCATCAAATTATTAAGAAATGTGGTACAATATCAGTACTACTACAACACTTACTGATGTATTTCGTAACTTTAACCCACTTCACTGTACCCCCTAAATTCAGTTTAAAAACCAGTGATGGCTATCGAGGGAGATCGTAATTTAAACCTACTTTGACCTACGAAAACTGATTTAAAACCTGTTCAGCCTGTTAACTCCAATTTAGCCCTAGAACAACCGAATTAATCTTTATTTGAACCGATTTAAACCTCTAAAAAAATTTTTGGTCGGATTATAAACCAAGTTAATAATTTTATTTCAAAAATAAATATTTAAAATTAGTTATAACTACGTATAAATTATTTTAGGTACCTAAAATTATTTTTCTACTCCCACCTTTAAAACGCCCTTTTTCGTACATGTTTCCATGACACTAAGTGACCTTTTAAATACACATTGACAAGTTAGACTTAGCAACAGGTTTTTAGTCACGGGCTGAAGTTAGTTTTAAGTTAGTTGACAGTTGTCAAATGTCATACAATCGTTAAAATAAAGTTCCTTTCTTGTAAAATAATACTAAATTTGAAAATTATTTTATTATCTCAATGCAAAAATACAAGTATTAAATAGTTTCTCAACGCCAATATTTGAAAAGTTTATATGAACATTGTACTGACCTTTTAATTTCGCCGGCAGTAAACTATAACTTAAATTCGGGCACGGACCCCACTGTAAAGTGCTCATAAAGCATTTTCTTTACCTTCACTGTAAAAAACTGTCAATTTTCAAGAAATACATTTCGATTTATAACCTTTATAATCTGTGTTTATAAAATATAAATTTTGACATTTGACGGTGATACACAGATTCCCCTATCGTTTCATAGATGGCGCTCTATACAAATTTTTGCGCATTTTAACAAATTTTATATCCACCTTCTTAGTAAATGACATTTTATAGGTTAATTTTGTTGTTTTTGTATCCAAGTAAACGATACATTATAAAAACAGACCTGTAATATTTTACGGGCTTGTATAAAAGACCTGTAAAGCTTTGCAGGCTTGTGGATAAGTAATTTATAAAATAAAATGTCACATTTGACATATCAATTAAAATTTTAAATTTGAAAATCGATGTCTAAAGATGAAAATATAATATAATAAAAGTTTGTACGTGTCACGCTTTGCAATTAATCTTTACTATGCAAACTGGATTAACTTAACTTCCAGCTGGCCCGTAAAGATTCATTTACAAAGCTTGACACGTAAATAACTATTACAGGAGGAGAAAAAACATTTTCCCACCAGATAAAACTTTTATGAAAGTATGCATCCCTTGATATTATACTGAAAAAAAATTAGGAAATACTTTCATCAAAGTTTTATCTGGTAGTGAAATCTCCTGTAAAATTTGTTAAAATGCACATAGATGTTTTTTTTAGGCGCAGCAACGATATATTTAAATTCAAATATTGTCGCGCTTTTATTAATCGACATGCGCAGTGGCCTGGGCTTTTTATAATAGTGTATAATTTGGTTCAAATTTAAACGTAATTAGATCCGAAAAATCGGGAAAATGGACTTATCTGCCATGTTTTAGGTTAAAAGTTGGTTATGTTGAGGCGAATACAAAACCTTTCAAGACGAAAATTGTCCAGACTTAGGTTTAAATTACGATATAAATTTTGACTAAGGAGACTGCCTGAAATCACGTGTACTTTTGTAACCTTTGAATTTAACAAAATGCTTAAAAAAATTGCATATTGTTGCTTACGAGGCCGTCAGGCCGAGTGTGCATTAACACAAGCTTGAAGAAAGTGATACACAATGTCAATCAATAAACTTACTATCTCGATTTAAATAAAGGCACTTAAATTGGAATTTATTATACAAACACAATTAATTGTGTTCTAAATGATATTAAGATGTACATACACAAATACAATACAAATTTCAAACGATGCTGTCAATTTCTTTTCACGTAGACCTGTCACTTTTCACACAGAAATGTCACTTTACATTCGTGTTTTGCCTTGCCAATGAAAAGATTCATTCAATCATTCATCATCTAAGCAATGCTGCTATTACTAAATGTGACTTTCACATAGTGCTCGTAGAAAAAATATTTTTCTTTGTTAAAATAATTACAAACCCTGGTTTTCTACAAACTCATGTTAAAAAATCTTATTTTTATAACAGTGTACAATAGAGTGTGCCAAAAAAACTCGATATTTTTTTCTTGCTCTTCACCCAAAATATCGTAGAATATGTCCGAACAAATATTCTGTTAAAAGCGGAGGACATAATTTCAATTTTAAGAGGTCCTTCATCGAATCTGAAGTTTTGCCGCTTAAATAACACAGAAAACTGACTTTTTTACCTTATTTATTCTTGCAACCTAGGAAGAATTTTTTTTTCTTAAAATCCATGACTAATTCTTACAAAGCATTAAATTTAGACAAAAAAATCCTATTAAGCCGAATTTCTATTTTCATTATTTGATTTTTTACAGAGCTTTAAATTTAAAATTTTACGTTTTTTGCCTTTTCAGCTAAACTATTGAAGTTAGACGAAAAAGCAATTTTTTAGCTTGTCTGATGGACCACAAAAAAGTTTTATGATAGTTGTCGTATTAATTACAAATTTACCGATATCAAAAGAAAACAATAATACTGCAAGGGCGCTGTTAGTAAATTCTTTGGGAAATTTAAATTTGAATTTAAATATCAACAAAGTTATTATAAGTAAACCGTGTTTTACAATATGTGTACCTATCAAGCTCGAAATAAATGAAATAATGTACTGAATATGAATATTATAATGAATATTAATGTAATAATTACAGATTCAGAATTTTTTGTACGATATTAGTTAGTAAGATATTATTATTAGTATTTTAAGCGATAATTTACTGTAAACAATGGAATAAGACATAAAATTCTTATAAAATTGTGTATCTATTGTCAATTGTTTATCTGATTTACATAAAAAACCATCGAAATAAGCTTAAATAAGTCTGTAAATTTTAATGGTTGACTCTCTTAAAATGAATTAGTCAAAAATAACTAAGTCATATTTGACTAATTGTCATAGCGAAAAAGCAGTCACTAATAATTAGTCAAATTCCACTGAATGAAATAGTTAAATTAGTAAATTTAAATTTTAAAAAAGTTTTGACCCAGCCTGGGATTGAACTCACGTCTGTCACTTGGGAAGCTTGTCAACCTAACCTCATAACTGCGGCTGTCAGCCGCTCTAATAAAAATAAATTTTATTTGTCAATAAATATTGTTCATAATATTTTAAAGTTTAATATATTATTTGTGTTACTGTTTTGAGCTAAACTTTTTGCATCTTTATTTGTTTTATGGGTCATTTAACCATGGAGAGGTATATGCATTTAATTTAACTAATACCTTGTTGTTTGCCGTAAACCATTAAAGAAATTAGTTACTTTTAACTGTCAGAAATAGTCAAATATGGTGACTAATCTTAAATTAGTCAAACTTTAACTATTTAAGTAGTAAAAAATAACTATTTAAAAGTGAAAACGACTATTTTATTAGTAAAAATGCTGGTACTAATTCAAATAGTAGAATTTTGACTATTTCATTTTTAGAGAGGACAGTACATCAAATTTTACTAGGACAATTTTTCCGAAAATTCAATTTTTTTTATAATTCTCTATTGACTTTTTGTGCTAACATTAATATTTCACTAACAGAAAGTTAATAATACAAAAATGATGACTTTATACGCCTGTAACTTTTAGAATATTGACGATAAAAAAATTCGCTTAAAACTTTTTTGTGGTCCATCAGACAAGCTAAAAAATTGCCATTTGACTTTTTCGTCTAACTTCAATAGTTTAGTTGAAAAAGGCAAAAAACGTAAAATTTTAAATTTAAAGCTCTGTAAAAAATCAAATAATGAAAATAGAAATTCGGCTTAATAAGATTTTTTTGTCTAAATTTAATGCTTTGTAAGAATTAGTAATGGATTTTATGAAAAAAAAAATTCTTCCTAGGTTGCAAGAATAAATAAGGTAAAAAAGTCAGTTGTTTGTGTTATTTAAGCGGCAAAACTTCAGATTCGATGAAGGACCTCTTAAAATTGAAATTATGACCTCCGCTTTTAACAGAATATTTGTTCGGACATATTCTACGATATTTTGGGTGGAGAGCAAGAAAAAAAAATATCGAGTTTTTTTGGCACACCCTAGTGTACAAGATGTTGCACTTTTTTTTCCGGATATTGAAAATGTGATTTTTTTGTATTTTAGGTGATTCCGTTCAGTGTGTGTTCGCGCCGATAGGGGGCGGCGACGGCGGGCCGCGGCAGCAACAACAACAACATCACCAACAACAGCAGCAGCAGCAGATGCCGCAAGGCCCGCCGCCAGCCTACCCCTCGCTGCCGACGCCGCCCGTCGGCCACCGTGGCGGCGGCGGCGGCGGCGGCGAGCAGCAGCAACAGCCGCCCATGATGATGATGCACCAGCTGCTGCAGAACCCGCAGTTTGCGCAGGCCAACGCACAAGCTAATGCCAACAACGCACTCAACAATCATACCGGTAAGTCCAAGATATTATTTTTTTTCTACAAGAGTTTAAACAAAAATTATTTCTCTTTCTAACCTTAAACCGTGGCTTAAGGAGCATTTTTGTCGCCGGGCCGGCCATACGCCCGATTTAAGCTAGTGGAGTGCGGGACAATGAGGGAAAACATTTTGGTTTTTGTGGGACAACGGTTATTAAATTGCAATTTTAAAAGCAAGTTTTCCAACTGCCTTGACCTTTGACCTATGACCTTTTAACTCTAATAAGTTTAGTTTATATAAAACAATGCTCGGGCTATTTTAAATTATGTTATATAAATCATTTTACAAAAATGTGTATATTGTTCTAAATTAAGTTTTAATTATCAAGTCACATCTATTTTTAACAGTTTTGTTTTTGGTTCACCTCGATATATTTATTTTTGTGGAAAATATGGATTTTTTAAAAAAACATTGCAATTTTCAATATTTTTCTGTATGAAGAACCAAGGTTGCTATGGTCCATCCATATGCTATGGAGAATGACAGTGACAGTTTTGTTGAATCATCCCATACTTGGACATGTCATACATGACTTTCAAAAGCTATCAAATTGTTTTTTGCAAATTAATGTGTTAATTTTGACGTGTCTTCATACTTTTAAAAATTTCTCCCACTGATGTTGCCCTTTGTACTTTACTTCTTGTGACGTTTAAAGCACTTGCCACGTAATACTGTGACCGTCCATCCTGGATTAAATTAATGGCTCTGGCAAAATCAGTCGGAGACATATCCATTTTTTAAAGTAAGAAGACACCTCAAAATTTAATCATTAATTTGCAAAAAACAATTTAATAGCTTTTGAAAGCCGTGTATGACATGTCAAAGTATGGGATAATTCAACAAAACTATCACTGTCATACTCCATATGATAGATGGACCATAGCAACCTTAGTTCTTCATACAGAAAAATATTGGAAATTGCAATGTTTTTTTAAAAAATCCATATTTTCCACAAAAATAAATATGTCGAGGTGAACCAAAAACAAAACTGTTAAGAATAGATGTGACTTGATAAATAAAACTTAATTTACAACAATATACGGTTTTGCCACTCTACAGAGTGTCTTAAAAATGGTAAAAAACATATTTTTGTTTAAACCTGTATATTATAAACGTACGTCTATTTTTTAGTAATTTTTTAAAATGTGAGCGATTGTCCATTAATTTATCTACAATATTCTTTAATATTCGTTTAAATCCGACATCAAATAATTTTTTTCATTTAACTATTTATAAAAAGCTCTAACCTCAAACTTTTGTCATCAAACATTAGGAGTAGGTATGTTGAATCCTATTTTATTTAAATATATAAAGTAAAGTTGCAAATATCAAGAAACACATATTTCTAAACAAAAGTACTTGGCAAATGTAATTTAAACTTCTAATCGTACTTTCCTTTTGTCATAAAATTCCTCAGTTTTCTACCAAACTAACTAATTTAATTTCGGTCCAACTTTTATACGCTTAATCCCAATCAAACTTGATTCTATCGCAGAACGGTTCGCGCATAAATTTAGTTCTTTGTAAGCAGCCAAACAATCGCCCTTTAAATGATGAATTAAGCACGAGTTAAACCTTTGTTTAATTTTCCGTTCTAGCAATGGGTAGTGGTTCAAAAGTAAATACTTTTAATTAAGTGTTCGTTAAAAAAATATTCTACAAAAATATGAAAATTGTACATCAATAAACCATAAATTATCAATGCATTTTACCATTATTAAATCTTTCATATGTATTTCCCTCATATAAATGGAATTTTCTATTTTTATTGACGTCGTATATGAAATTGAGACTTACTGCTAAAAACGTCAGAAGAAATAGTGTACGTAACTTAAAACTTTCCTGACAAACATAAAAATATTTCTGGGTTACCAAAATTGATTCACATATAAAATATCCCAATTCCTCATATATAAATTTGATTTTTTTTCTGGGAAAGTTATCAATCATTTTAATATGAAAACTGAAGACTTTATGTGCGTTACTTTCGCAAAGTTAAATTCAAGAGAAATTTTTCAATTTCGTGTTTCATATTCAGTATGGATGAATTTATATGAGCATAATTTTTGGTGCAGTGAAATTAGACGAGAAAATGGCATACACATTTTTGTCTGGAATTTAAACGTATTTTAGGTAAACTTATGGCCGTATTAATAGTCATGTATGTTTGATCAAAAGTTACTACTGTTAAATTCACGGGTATCACGGCAATTAAAATTTATATCTCTGTTTGGAAACTTCACAGACGGCAAGTTCGCACTGCCTATTAAAATAATTGCATTTCGCGTTTGTAAAATTTTAGTATAAAAAGGTTGAGTTGCCTTTTTACATAATATCTTTCGTTCTTAATAATAAAAACAAATTTACGACATTATAGAAGTATGTGATTCCTGAAGGTCATTTAGAATTTATATGCAGATGAGAGTGTTGCTGTTTTATAATTCAAAAGTTTAAGTTCATTAATTTGCTATTTAAAAACCTATCCACCGTGAAGTGTAATATCTCAGTAGGTAGATTTAAAAAAAAATATTTTATGTATGTACAATTGTATTTTTTTAAAATATTAAGGTGTCAAAAGATACAATAACTTATTTCAAATATACAAAGGGATGTTTTAAAAAAAACCTACGTTAAGTTCTAATATTCAAAATGTATGATTTCTTAAAATTCTTGCATTAGTGCAGAACCACTTATGTTATGTCATTACAAGACCTGGTGGCTTCCAAAAACCCCATTCTAGACTAACAGTGAAACAACCAAAAATAAAAAATAATCATTTTCACTTGGTGGACATCTCAATATATTCACCCAAATGCTTTGAGAACGTCTTAAAAAGATTTCTAAGTTGTTACATAATACCATAATACGCGAATAATGTGAACGTTTAAGGGGGGAAAACGGCCAATTTGTTCAATGGAATGGGGCAATTAACGAGATTGATTCTAATCACATACTCTGGACACCTTAACAGATATCGGAAGTTGTTGTTCCATATCGACAACAGAGCCGTATTAGAATTTAATTAGAAATTAATCCCGGCGCATTCGCCATTTTTGACAATTTTTATTTTTGCGCTAAATAATTTTCTACGACTGCATAACTTAAGCATAATAAGTTGTTTGTATAAAAGATTTTAATTTTGATAACCCAATAATCTCTTCTTGTAACTTGTTTACTTAACTAATTAACCGAATAATAATTACCATAATTATTGTGGTAAGGTATTCCTTTTAAGCTGCTACCTACACGGAGAAAAATATATGTTAAGAAACGTATATTAAAATTTATATAATAGAAAGTAAATTAACTTATTATATTAATTAAAATGCTGGATGTTAATAAGTACTTAATATTATTTAAAAAATGAATTAAATTAAATATTTGTATAAAGCGACATTTATACAAAAACAAAGTAACCATCCCAATAAACATTTTTGACGTAATTTCACCATTTACATTGTCCGTTATTATTTTAATTATACAATTATTTTTACTTTAATAGTATATTAAAGAACTAATGTCATAAGACGTTTTATGACATGAGTTCTTTATGCTATTTTATCTATTTTGCAAAAATTCTATAAAAAAACTAATTTTATACCTTAAATTTAATTTGGTCAAATTTTACTTTAGATAGTTGGTATCACAGTCATTGGTTTGACAGTTAATGTCAAAATCGATTCGCCATGCCGTCCTTTTACTTATTTACAATAAGCGGCTGTTAATGTTTAAGAAGAAAAAAATATATTTCTTTGGTGTTTAACAAAATTTATTGCCAGAAAGGTCTCGTAAGTACTAGAAAAATCATAAAAATATTATAACCAATATGCAAAATATTATGCTGTTTAAAGTATAGTCAACCTATAAAATCAAAATTTTGGGTGGGATAAAGTATCTCATCACAGCACCGAAAACGGTGTTATAATGAAGTCATTATGAACGCAAAATAGATAAAATATTAAAATAACTTTAAAATAAGATTATGTTAAGAAAATATTTTATCCTTTGGTTTGTTTTATTACTATAATTGCAAAATATTATCAAAAAGTATTAAATCAAGTATATATCAAGTGTTGTTTGTAAAAAAACATGAAAAAAAACCGGTTTTTTTGTTTTTTCCAAATCCGCTACAATAAAGTATAGTCTCTCAATAAATAACATCAATCCTAAAAAATTGAGAATTTTTTTAATATGAAATTTTGAGCAAAATGTATATTAATAATAAAGTGAAATTTAGAATACATTTTTACATTTTTTATTATTGAAAATTTTGACCAAGACTAAAAAATTGATTTCTTATTATTTGGTTGTTTCCACATAAGAAACCAATAACAATGTAAAACTTCTTGAAGTCTTTTATAGATTTATAGTTACTTTTTTTTAAGACCAAATCAAAACATGCACAAGACTGTATTTTTATTTACTAAATGTCATTTGGTGGCTAAATTTTAGTCTATGAACTGGACTGAAAACATAATAAATTAGGCAAATAAAACTAATCTTGAAAAAAACCTAAAATATGAAAAACAATCATTGGAAAAAAACGCAAAAAAAGAACAAAAAAAAACTAGTGATACCACTAGATTCTAAAGAAATCATCCAAGACCAAGATTTGTTTCCAACATACATTGAATATAAGATAAATACAAATCTAAATTAAATATATTTATAAGTATAATGCTGATTACCATAATTATAATACCCTTTACTATAATTTATATTACTATTTGGGACAACTATCTTGTATATTGCCAGATACTATGCATATTTAGTAATTTTTAAATATCCATGTATTTTAAACCTTAAGGTAAAATATTATTATTCTCAACCAATTTTGTTTTTAATTCTTATAATTAGATTTTTTCCATTACTAATAAGTATAGTAAATTTTAAAATATTATGTTGTCATTTTAAATATAAAATATTTTAAAATCGAATATTTTTATATGTTTACAATTAAAAATTGTAACATAT